CTCTATTGACTGTGGTACGGATCAGGCTGCGCCCCCAGAATTCCCATTTACTGGACCATTTTTTTAAATTATTATATTATAATTTTTTATAATCATTTATAATTATGTATTATATTATAATTTATTATAATTATTTATAATTTATTATATTAGAATTTTTTTATTTCGTGTTTCAAACTTTATCATACCTGGGATGTCTACTGGACTCTTGTTTGGACAGATTTAGGTGAGTTATTCCTAAGATTTAGTAAGAATTGCAGGCCTACAATACATAACACCAAATTTCCATGAAAAAAATTGTACATAATTCCTGACATAATCATACCACCAGGGAGGTTAATACATTTAAATCCAAGTCAGGTATAGAGGCACTCTCAGGTCTTGCAGTGGAGATAAGTCAAAGCATCAGCATTTTATTGTCAACATTTAGATGAAGCTCAGTCCATCTTTATCAAGATTTAATAAATATGGACTGAGCTCTATTGAAATGTTGACAAGAAAATGATGATGCTTTGACTTATCTCCGCTGCAAGACCTGTGAATGTATGAGAAAAGGGTCGAGGAAAGCAAGCATGTCTTCTCTTTGTATGTAAGATCTTTTTTCAGGCTCTTAAAATCTATAGTGCACTAGATACAGTCTGTCTTGAGAAGTTCTGGAAACCAAAAATTATTTATCATTAATTGTAAGCTCCGCCTATATGGGTTCTGTTCAGGATCCATAGTTTTAACAAGAACGTATATGCGGGGAGCACAGGATTTTGAGTTTAGACAACAGGGTTAGACACTCCATTAGCTGTAGCTACTTCAGAAGTGGAATGGAGAGGAAGTGTATCTTTGATACAAAAGGGTGAATATTTTGATGCTGACCAAACTAACCAAGAAACACCCAGGTCTTGACTTCTAAGACATGATTTATATGTGTATTTTGCCCACTTCAGTAGTTCTGCTCAGTTATTTAAATAGAATATGATATAATGCAAAAAAATTGCATCAGGACTTGCTTTGTTTGTCAGACTAGAAGTGGGATGGTAAAAATTTGTATTCTAATAGTTGGTTTACAGCTCTCAAAAAAGGTGAAGTAGACTGTATTTCTGTCTGACATTTGAAGGTGAAAGGTAGATCAGAAAAAAGTCAACTGCAGGCCAGATGTGTTTGTCAATGAATTCTAAATGATCTCAGAAGCATCTTTTTTTTTTTGCAAGTTTATTTTGAAATTATTTAGACCAAAATACAAAACCAAGCTGTCACAATATACGTAACACATATGTAATAACCTGTTCAGATGATGTACATGTCAGAGGTTATACAACAAAATCCATAGACTACCTAACTGTTACAGAATCGTAAAGCATTTGAGACTTGCTCAAAGTTATCCATTGGAATCAGGTTATATATTATGCGAACAGCTTATTAACAATCTAACAAAATGCAAGGGGGGTTGGGTGTAAGCCACTTGTGTAATATGTTTTTTTTTGACAGCCAACAGGCAGTAATGCCACTTGTGTAATATGTTTTTTTTTGACAGCCAACAGGCAGTAATGCTCCCATTGTGTCAAGGATTCTGTTTTGTCCTGTGTGGAAGCAATCGGGGAGTGGAATAGACATACTGCTGGGGAGCAATCCCTAGATCTATCCGAAAGTGTATTCATATAAGTAATTGCTTGTAGCCAAAGGGATTGAATACATGGACATTGCCAAAGGAGATGTGTCAAATTAGGGCGTTGGGTATGACATTTGGGACAGTCAGTGATCCAGGCAGTGGAGGCTGCAGGGGGAGTGAAATTTAGGGCATAATAAGAAGCACCTTAATCTAAAGTCAAATGTATGCCATCAACACAAACCCAAAGCCCATTAACACAGACCCTTAGCTAGCCCTGGACAAGAACATAGTCCTTCAGAGGGTCAATTTCATCTTAAACAAGTGATCCATAACTACCCATATGAGTGAACTACTTATTTACTATGCTCCTCGGGTGAATCTAATAGCCATAATGCATTATTTTCCGAATATTGCATTCAACCTGAAAAGACAATTTAACAAAAATGTTTGATTTTGCCTCTATTCACACAGAATGAATGTGCAGGGCTGACTCTGCAAATTGTTCATAAGCAGACCTCTGTGTTGCTGGATTGCAGCAGGCACTATGTATAGAAAATGTTATATTAGATATTGTTGGCACTGATAAGTGTACAGGAAATTTTTGTTTAGTACAGAGTGTAACCTACAGGTAAATGCAGCTCAACAGCATAGACACTCTTGTGCTGGCTCTCACCGCTCCAATGTTATTGCACACTAAAGTCATATGCCCTCATATGAGTGCTCTGGAGGTTATTTCTGTTACATACATTTTATTGAATATTTTAGCATTTCAGTTGAAGAAAAGAGAAAGGGAAGGCGTTCCAACATGCCATTATATAACAGTGTTGTTTAGGTCATCAGAAATAAGAGCACAAGTTCACAGTAAGCTATCCTAGTGGGGAAGGCTGATATGATGGTATGTTAGATAAGTATAATACTATTTCAATACAATATGCTGTGGTCTCCATATTAAAACATGTGAACTCTGTGGGTTTGATGGTGCAGTGCTGGAAGTGAAAATGGAAGGTGAAAGATTATAGTAGACTGATGAAACAAGGATAGAGCAAAGAAGGGTAAAGGAGTTAAGGAGTGATACCCAGCCATAAGGGGTCATTTGTAAGTGTTATAAATAACAGTAGTAGGCAGAAACACTGTCTATGCTAACTACATTAGTTCAAGAAGGCTTGAAGTTGTGGTGTGTTTTAAAAAGTGATCCAGATACACCAGGTCTCAGTGAATTTAGTATAATTATCATGTAGATGCATCATTAGTGCTCCATCCTCATCAGCCTGGTAACTTCCAAGACCAATTATTTTATTGCTGGAGCAGTAGGTTTGACTGCTGATAGTAATTTATTTATTGATAGAGCACCATTGAATTTTGGAGCAGTTTTTTTACATAGAATATCCCTCGGGGATCTGAGAAAAAAGACCAAGTACTGTATCATGGAAAGGAGAGCTGTTTCTGGTGTCAATTGACATTTTGCCCCTGGTATTAGCAAATGTGATATATTATATATGTTCCAGTAGGCAGGAATAGGTTGACAAACCACCAGATATGTAGCATTATCCCCACTCCTTCCCCGCAGTGCCAGCAGTAATGAGCCACAGATTAGAATATTATGTGCAAATTGGAGGGGCAACAATACCACTTCACCATTATTATATATTTCCACTCCTAATCAGCACTATCAATAGAGGATTTAAAAGTCAGTGGAAAATGTTTGGCCCACTCATCTTCAGAGAAGGAACATTCTAGTTCCCTTTTCCATGCTGATATTTAATAAGATCATATGGGAAAATGCATATGCAAGACTTTATAAAGTCATGAGATAGCATGTGCAGGGCAAATATCAGGGGAGCACATGGTTTCCATACTAAACTCCAAGAGTTAAATCTTAAAAATTAATTTAAGTACCATATTAACCAAAATGTAGCTTATTTGTGCATCACTCAGCTGTAAATCATCTCTAAATTTGAGCTGATGATGTCCTTCCTTCTGGAGGGTGGCTACTTTTGTTCCCCATGGTCCCTGTGTGTGTTGTAAAGTAGCCACCACTCCAAGCTCGCTCCCATGATAGCTAATTTATATTGAGATTATAGGATAACTAAAATGTGAGATTATAGTTTATCATGAAAGCACCCAAAAAAAGTAAAAAACTCAGACCTAAATGTAATGCATTGGAGTTAAAAGGATGTAAATGGGCAGAAGCTCTATTTTTTTTCAAGATGGAGGAAAAAATTAAGTGGACAAAAGTGACATCCATTTTATTCTGCTCTGATTCAGCAGGGGATCTGTTCACCATATCCCCTGATGATCTAAACAGATGCCACCCATGTGAAAGGGGTCTAAAACATTTTACAGGTAAAAAAATGTCAGTCTTAGAGAGCTTTACAGAGGTTTTTCCTGCATTTTATAATGGCACCCTCGTAGTCATATACTACCAGGCATTTGACTCATTATTATGTTGCATTTTATGCGTTAAGGAGAGAAAACCACATATGTATAAAATCAAGATAAGTTACAGGTTAAAAGGTATTTATAGGTACGCTGTATAAGTTACAGTTGTATATAGTATTATGAGAAGACATACACAAGATTAGGACATACTGTTTTGAAAACTAAAAGATTTGTCTGTATATGAGAAATAAAATATTTTTTTGCTTTTCTTTCATGTTGATAGCATTCTAGAGCGTTATGTTCAGGATCAAATTCCAGGTGCAGCAGTTGTGGTGGAATCTATTGGTGCCAGAAGATTTGGAGATGGCTTCTCTGAAGAGGACTATACCCAGTGTGACCTGATGATTTATGCTGTTGACCCTCAGACAAACAGGGCAATATCACGTAATGAACTGTTTAAGTACGTATCTAATGGACAGATGAACATAGCCTTCTTATTAGTGGAGTTTATTTTTGCCTTATCTGACTGTAATTGTTAACAAACATATTACAAGTGAGGATTCTATTCAAAACAGTATTTATCTAATGTAAATAGGGCTTCCAAACATGATTTACTCTATGTTGAATATTTCTAAGGTGCAGGGAGAGTGGAAGGTGATGAATACATCATTGCACCTTATAGTCATCTACATAAGGGCCTGCAGGACTTTAAAAGAGAACTATGGGGTATACCTTTTTTGCATTTTTAGTTTCCTTATGATACAGGAATACATTTTGCAATATACTCCTGTAATAAAAAATCCACCACAAACTTGCAATTCAATGTAATATACTGTGGGAGGCGTTTAGCTCTGTGCTGAGAAGCGATCCTGACAAATTTGGTGGGGGATAAAGCTGAACTGCCTGTGTTATTGCCAATGTGTTGTGTGTATGTCCCAAGACAGAAGCATGCAGGGGATGGAAGGGTGAGGGATGGACCTTTACCGCTTTTGTTATTCCCTATGTGTGTGCAGGGTGGATAAAGAGTCCAGTCTCGGGAGGGGAACTGCCAGAAAATAAGCCCCCCCTCTGGCTCTTCCACTGCTACTGTGCCACCCTTTTCCTCTCCCACCACCTCTGTGTCCACTTTCTCCCCTACTCCCAGGGTATAGCGTACTTACATGGCCTCTACTTCTGGAATCTTTCCACCGCTGCCAGCCTTGGGTGGTCTGTACTCACAAATTAGGCAGCTGCAAAGCCCCAGTGTGGGCTGAGGCAGCCCCCTAATTTGCCTTACTACAGTGCAGCCTCTGCTTTGGGTCCCGATTGTTCGGTGTGGCTGGCCAGGCCCAGCAGAGCGGCGGAGGAAGGTGGCGATAATTTTCGGGGGGGATCCCTGGATCTATCAATGCAGCTTTGTATAATGTATTGCTGGAATTTGTAGTCCTGTATAGCTGGTGGTATTCTGCATTCCTGTATAATTATTGTACAGGAATACAGAATACCACCAGCTATACAATATACATAAAGTCAGCAATAGACATGTGCGATTCGGTTCGTTCCGAAATTTGTTTCTGACGAATTTTCGGAAATTCGGAGATTCGGATGCATCCGAATTCCGAATTACAGCTAAGACGAATGCAAACGAATCCGAAATTCCCAATTTCCCGAAATTCGGGAATTACATTAGGAAGACACACAACAAGTACAGAGGCTATAGAGTAGTGGATAGAGGTACAGGCTTGCCATTGCTAAGGTTCCAGGTTCAATTCCAGGGCAAGTCAAGTTTAAAGTTTTTTTTTTTTCCTTTGCTTTTGAATTGGCATTCTCCTAACATTCCTACCAGACCTAAAGGGTCTGGTATGAATTGGGGGGGAACCTCAGGCTTTTTTTTTTTT